TGTGGGGCTGCTTCCTTCTGGAAAGCCCAGGGGCTCTTATTCATGCACCTGAGGGAAAAGCTTAATAAGCCTGGGCCCAGTACTTTTGTGAAAGTCTTGTAGAATCCTCTTTATCACTTCACAAGTGCTCTGCTGAACTTCCCTTGAGGGCTTTAATGCTGAGCGAAGGCTTTGGGGCGGGTTTTTAAAAAAAAAAACTGCAGGAGAAGAAACAGAGGTAGGACTCACTGAGGTTTAGATTCAAAAGGGATTCGGCAGAGTATTGTAGTGCACATCACTATCTTTTCACTGGTGGAACAGCACAAAGGCTTAAAACTGGCTTTTGTTTAAAAACAAAATATCATAATGAAGGTCCAGACTGAGGAAAACAGGGTGTACTCACCACATTACATAAATGATAAAATATCCATTAGTGTGCGGTCAGGAATTTCTAACCACATTAAAATAACTGAATTGGTCACCAGATGTACAAAGTCACATTTGGGGAGTTGAGAGGCAGGAGGCCGAATAAATACGGTACACAAGAAATGTTTCCATGAAACAAATTAAATTAGATAAAACTAAATTACTAGTTTTGAAATCCCCAAATCCCTGTGTTCTTGTTCCTGTGTGTAAGATTATATCCAAGCACATAACACAAAACTGCAGTGTGAGTCAACTCTTTCTTACCCCTTATGTTGTCACTAGTTTAAAAGCACTGAGGCTGTTGTACTGTATTTCAAGAAGCAGGGGTTTCACATTTGGAGATCAGGCAGAGATGGAGCTTGATGCTGTAAGCACTGAAGTGATTTCAGGTGGAGATGCACGTTTGCAGATTACTCATATCTCAGCTTTAAAATGTGCAAAATCTGTGCATGAACACAGAATTTTAAAATCTGTGAGACAGCTAGTACAGTAGTCAAGAATTGTGGAGGAGTAATCTTGAATTAACAATTATATAAAACTACTGCAGTAATTCTGACAGAAACAGTACATGGCTTTTCAATGTCTGCTAATTTTCCCTGCTGTGCCTTTTTACTGTGGTGAGTTGAATATGAATAATTCTATTTATAAATAAATTTATGAAATATTTATAAATCTATTAATAAATCTATGGATGTTTTTTCTCTCTTCTCTTTTCAGCATGGAATAAAGCTATTAATAAATCTATTACTACAGAGTCCATTTTTGAGAAATGAAAGGATCAAGTTGTGCATCTTCCCCTTTCTGAGTAAGATTGTGTTATTAACAACGTACAGTATATGTGCATCAGAAGAAACCGTAACACTTGTAATGTCAACAAATTCAACAAAGTTATGCCCAAATCTGTAGCATGTGCACTTACATGTTACTATATAACACAGGTAAATTCATTATGTTGACTCCCATTTGCCACCAACAGAGCTGATCTTTTGTGTTCTACTGTACACAATAATCTGCACCAGGCTGCAGATGCGGCTTTGTGGGATTCTGTCCCAAACGTGTCCTCCGGGTGTGATCTCCACTGGTCTCTGAGCCCTACAGTACTCCCGGGTGGTTTTACTGTATTTTATGAATTCTGTATTTTTAGATAATTTATGTAAAGAGCCTGGAGAATGCTCTTGATTGAAAAGCAACATGTAAGAATAAAACTCATCGATTGATTGGATGATTGATTTTCACAAACGTTCAAAGAGCTTCTCGACTAGCAAATAGGGCCTCCACACTGCAACTCTCATCTCCCAGGAAAAGCCATTATTATACAAGGACAAGCATGGTCTTGCTGGAATATTGTCAAGTGCAGTCCCAAGACCTGATAAATGTATTTAATTGATGCTGTGCAGCCCGGGCTGCCATCAGTCACTGCAAGTGGAGTTCTACAGTGACTCGATACTCCTGTCCAGATCAGATGATACTGTATGTCAATCTTTGAGAGGCGCCCTGACTAGTAGTGTTCCACATCGTGGCCTGTCAGTAACAGACTGTGTTTGGCTGTAATGTCTTGCTAGGTTAGAAACTGCTGATGGTGAACAGCCCAGACAGTCAGAGCCTCCAATATACCAATGGCAAAAAGGCTATATCTAGACATATGTCTAGGTATACGTCTTATTAAGTAAGTTTCTGTGTTTTTCATTATTTAAACAGGCTTGACATTTAGTAGGTGAAATCACCTGTGCCCAATCAACTCTGTCACTAATGAGGTGATTTAGTGCTTATGCAACAAAGTCTCTCAAGTGAATCACAGTCATGAATGATTAATCAAATTAACCAATTAATCAAAATGACATTAGAATATTTCATCAATGTCCAAAATCAATATGCTTCATTTTTAATTATACACAGTGTTCATTTTATTTTGATGCTTAATATATACTGTATAGTAAACCTAAATCTGACACGTTAAATTGCTCTTTAAACACCGCCTTAATTCTGATAGATGGAAATGTGTTATCACAAAGGGGATGCACCGATTTTTGTATGCATAAATTGGAAGAAATCATGATTACAGATCTTGATACAGTTTCCTTTCAGTCTTCAGATCAATGAAAATCCCCACCTCACTCATACGTTCAGCTCCGCATTCTGTCTTAGACCTACTGCTCAGCTCTATTCTTAGAGATCGAATTCTACCTGTGGGAGGATAGCATTACATACAATCCTGTCATGTATTTTCTATTAGCACTCAAAATATTTACTGCAGCCAGAAAAATAAAGATTTCTGATTCATAGTATATTCACACTGGAGAACCCCTAGGGCAAATAAGGGGTCAGTTTAGGCCACAGTTAGCCGAGACAGTCTTGGGAGATTAGAATCCCCAAAGGCTTGTTCATTTCAGACTCAACTGTCTGTGATAAATGACCCTGTCTGGTCATGCATTCCATATACTCATAAATCCAGAAATCTGTATTAAAGAGTACAGATGATGCAGAATTGGCAAGTAAAACCTGAAACAAAGTCAAATAGAGCTAAGACACATCTGAAACACTGCAACAGAAAGAGTGACACAGAATAACAAAATATACCTTTAATAACCCAAGCTATATATACAATATGGACATCATGCATATACTGTACTACAGCTCCCTTGGAACATCTCTTATATACATTTGTAATCTGAATACCTGTAAGTTTTGTTATTACTAAGAGAGAATAATGGAAAACAGAATGAACAATCTACAAAAAGTCATCCATTAAGAGTATAATATGTTGCACAGGCACTGAATATGTTGTTTGGTTGTACAGGATTGTCGGTATCCGTGTAATATTGTTGACAAAAAATAGGAAAAGGCAAAGACAACCAGAAGCTATTTGCACAAGAGGCAGTGGATCCCAAAACCCTGTACATTACAAACTGTTAAAGAAAGACTGTGCAAGCAAAAGTGAAGTTTAGGAACTAGTTAGGAACTGAATGGCTTAAAACCCATTCACACCTGGCAACCATTATGATGGACATCACATGTTAGAGTAGTTTTGTTCTCTCATTTCACAGCTCACTGCATCACTGACTTCTAATTGGTGGATACAGTGATCTAACACACCAATCAGAATCAAGTAAAGACATAACTGTCAAGTTTTGAAAATAATATATCACCTTCACCATCAGCACGGCAGGTCAGTGCTCCTTGTGCCTAAGTAAGGGACATTTTAGTTCCTTGGTTTTACTTTCATATGTATTTATTAAGTTAAACCATAACATAATGCAATAAACACAATATGTAATACTTACATTTGTCTATCCGGGTTACAATCCGGGTTACAATTTTAAACTAAAATTGTAAAAAGGATTTTTTTTTTCTAAATGTTGTCCACTACAATGGACTGTGGGTCTCAAGAGAGGTGGTACAACCGTAACTTGGATGTATCCGTTAACACTCCTAAAACATGTTACCAATTTCATAATTAATTATGAAAAGTTACAAAACCCAAAAAATGTCACATACAAAGGTACACAGTTTTTGACCGCCTGGAACCTCTGACTGCTGGAAATGTGTCAGAGCTTGAATCGTTGAACAGGGAGGAGACTGAAGATACTACAAGATATGAGGCAGTTGGTAAGTGGGAGGTTGTAGACAGAGTCAAAGTAAAATACTAATAAATGTGAAAGTTATTTTAGATTTTTATTATTAATATTGTTATTTTTCTCCTTTCATGAATCCTACTAGTGAAGGCATTATACTGTATACAGTGAAATTCAAAATTCTTACTTAAAATCGAATAATTATTTTAGTCATTAGAATGAGAAAGAGATTTTTCACAGCATCACTGCTTGTACAGTGCTTAGGACAATTTTGATATGATCAGAAGTCCTAGTTCATTTTTAGTTAACAGATAAAACATAATATATATACAATTTGTGTACTGATTTCGGGAGTGGATAGGGATGGAATTCCGTGGATAAAAAGAGGTTGAGACAGAGATGGAGGCTGTTCAGTGTCAGGAAGATACGGGGAGAGAGGAACCACATGAAGAATGATGAGGTCTTAGGAAACCCAGCAGCATGTTTGGAATTCGGGGAACACGCCTATTCTGACAGTACCAGCACAGGCGCCATTACTTGTTCAGCCCCATTCGCTGCTTCATATCCAAAGAGTAGATCCATATGAGTATTTCAGCAAGTACTGTACATGCCACTTGACTAACACTTTCACAGAACTGAGCTCATCAGGAGGATATAAACAAGCGTCTGTGGAAAAACACCAAGCTTTGGGAGGGCTGGATTTGGGAGTAATTTCCTAGAGTGCGAATGTACCAAGACGCTAGTGTAAATATTGGTCTTTTCAGGAATACCACAGATTTTTTTCAACTTCGGTCAGGCTTTCGTGTGGTCAATATTCAAGAAAGATCACTGTGCCTTTTAGGGGAACATGTGCAACAACGCAGTTTATCAAAGGGAAGAGCTGGGGACAATAAAACACCAAGGCAGAAAACGGAACCTGCAAAAGGCAATACAGAAAAGTGCATTTTCCAAAAGGGTTTTTTGTTCTGATGCTCTGAAAACGTCATCAGCTTTAATTTAATCAGTTCACAGAACACACTGAGAAACGATCTGAAAAAAATATATTTTAGCATTCATTGTGTTGTTTTTCTATGTGAGCTATATGTTCTGCAGCCAGGGAACTTTCAAGCAGTACTTTGGAAGCATACGAATGCCCTATGGGTAAGGATTTTATCAAAAAGTCTCTATAAAACCCCTTCACAGTGTTCTCTCTTCATCCCGCTTTTTGAGGTACAGTGAAAAGGCCTCGACAGTCACAAACCGAAACAAAGAGGGCAACATCCCACAGGAACTTCCTTTCAACGTTATGACATCAATTCGGTACCCAAACCCCCATACCCCCACCCTCCACCGCCAGGAAAAAACGGGAGAGAAGGCGTGAAATCAGAAAAACTGGACGCCCCCTTCTGTGACACAGAAAAAGCACCTGCTTGTGCTTTTGGTCCCTGCGCTGGAGGAAGCGATGGAGAAAACCGCCCGCGAGTCCCTCCGGGCGTCCGTTTTGGAAAACGCCAGCTGGTGCGTGACGAGCCGCTGCCAAGCCTTACAAAGGTAGGGTTTGCTATAATCCCCGTCCGCCGCAGGACAGCGCCTCCAAGACGAGGAGGCCCCCGCTGCCCTGGAGGGCTCGCCAGAATAGCTTCTCATGATAGCCTGGGTGGAGGCAAACAAGACGATGCGGTAATCTCTAAGAAGCTTCTCCAAAAAAGCGCTGCACTTCCCAAGATTGGACTCCTGCTGGGTGACGCTTTCGCCCCCGTTGCTCCTGTCTATCCAATAGAAAGCAGAGATGCTGTCAATTACGAGCAGGCAGAGGGCAGGACGGCTGCAAAACATGTTCTCCACGTAGTGCAGCGTCAGGAGCAGGTGGACGGTGCTAGTGCAGTGAACCACAAACAGTCGGCGCAGGCACATCCGGATGGTCTCCTCCGGGCTCTGGGGCAGCCGGTGCTCCAAAATACTCACCAAGCGCAGCATGTCGAAGTGATAATCGGTGTCCACGAACATCACCTCTACCTCAAGCCCCCCGTTTTCAGCTGGAAGAATGCAGCGGGCCACCAAATGGTATATCGTTTCGGTCTTCCCCGTTCCCTCTGTGCCATAGAACTCGACCACGTCCCCTGTCAAAGAGACACTCTGTCTGAATGCGGCCATTACCTTAATTGGGACGATACTCAATTCAAAGCCTGGATGGAGAAAGAGCCTGGTTTGTGAGTCAGTTATCTACTCTCTTCCAATCTCAATTTTCCAAAGTACTCGTTTCATAAATGAGAAAGACGTCAAGCGTGCGTAAACAGCCACTTTGTTTAAATTTTTCTCCAGGTAACAGCGTACAATTGGTTAAGTACCGCCAAGATTAAGGAGGAAACAGTTGATTAGAGCTCTCTGGTCTCTCGGGTCTCAACAAACATGAAAAACACTAGTTTTGATAAACAGCTTCCTGGGTGCTCACAGGTCTACGATACTGTCAGTGACGGACGTGCCTCTCCTCCAATCAGCACTAAGCCTCCAGTGTGGGGCTGTGCTGCCTGGAACTTGTTAAAATATGATTGGTTTGAAGGTAGGTAGGTGGGAGGAGTCGGCCTACAATACCTCACCCAGGCAAATCCAAAAATGAATGAGTACAAAAGACAGAAAAAATAAACCTGCAATTCTACATCCATGTATAAACAATATTTACAAAAAAAGAGTGAGAAAACATTTGCAAAATACCTTTACTTACCGCCCATTGTTTCAGTTGCATTTTAAATCCCTTTTAAGATTAAAAGCCAGTACACCGTGTTCAAATGCAGGTTAAATATGAAAAGAAATTTGTTTTTTTGTCCTTTATGACTAAACACTAAAAACAAATTTGGAGAACAGAATTACAAACAAGAAAAAATAAATGATCGAAGCTTATAAAATAAGCAAACTACATCAAAGTCTCTTGCACTCAGTTAAACAGAGGTTTGTCTGTATCTGCATCTCTCAGAACCTTACAGAATAGACTACAGTTTCTTTTCAACCTTCCGGACTATGACCATTAGTTTATGAGCAGTAAACACAAGATGTTTACAACAATTTCACATGACACCGACTCCCATTATTTTATGTCAGGACTCAACCTGCGTGTTAAAGACAAGACAGATTTTTAAAAAATCCTAAAAGTGCTCTGTATCCAGGATACAACAGATACCTGAGGAAAACTCGGAAGCAAACAAACCATTCAAAGAATAAAATGGCCAGGAGGTTTTCTCTAAAATCCAAGCTGGTGTCAAGATACAGTATCCTGTGACTAGTTTACCTGGGACAGGAGCTCCTTCTTCAGGAAAAATCCGAGGCTCGATGTTCTTCAGTGAACTCCTTCCTTCGAGCCGAGCAAACAGCTGGGGAGAAAACGCAGCACGTTAGCATCTATGTGCCTGTGCACCTCGGCTTAGTGAAGACTACGGCGAGGAAAACCATCACTGCGAGACATTGATATGGCCAGCAGCCATATCACCCTGCAACTCAACAACTGGCAACCCACTGAAGCTCAGCAGGTGTGAGCCTGGTCAGTACCTGGATGGGAGACCTCCTGGGAAAAACTAAGGTTGCTGCTGGAAGAGGTGCTAGTGGGGCCAGCAGGGGGCGCTCACCCTGCGGTCCATGTGGGTCTTAATGCCCCAGTATAGTGACGGGGACAATATACTGTAAACAGGCGCCGTCCTTCGGATGAGACGTAAAACCGAGGTCCTGACTCTCTGTGGTCATTACAAATCCCTGGGCGTTTCTCGAAAAGAGTAGGGGTGTAACCCCGGCGTCCTGGCCAAGTTTCCCATTGGCCCTTACCAATCATGGCCTCCTAATAATCCCCCACTACGAATTGGCTTCATTGCTCTGCTCTCCTCCCCACTGATATCTGATGTGGGGAGCGTTCTGGCACACTATGGCTGCCGTCGCATCATCCAGGTGGAGCTGCACATTGGTGGGGGTGGAGGGGATCCCCATTACCTGTAAAGCGCTTTGAGTGGAGTGTCCAGAAAAGCGCTATATAAGTGTAAGCAATTATTATTATTATTTCAGCCCATAGCTCTAAAACATCCACATGTCTTAATTAGGTCTGCCACTTTGAAAACTATCAACAAAGTGAAACAGTGAGTGGGTGCTGTGCTGGACACATACAGAACAGCAAGTTAGGAAATGACTGATACTATGTTTATTACATGAGTTGTTTCACTCATGTGGCTAAAAACATGGACCCTAAAGTCTAGGCCCTGCAGAGTGCAGATGTGAGGAAATGACCTTGTTACTGTAGCTACTAAAAGCTATCGAATTCAAAATAATGGCTTTCAATCACAATCAGGGTGATTTTCACTCCGACACCAAATTTGCTTCCAATTTTCTGAACGCAGCTGCTGGTGAGGACAGGACAAATAAAACAGCCTACTTATTTTGTCGCTCAAAACATACTTTCCACTGGATGCTACTTGGGGGACTGAAAGGGCAGAACACATTTTGCACTGGCAAAAACCTGTCCTGTCATTCTGTCAGCACGTCAACTACCACTTACAGACTGGACTTTCATGACGTGCTCAAGGCATTTCTTAACTCTGTTTTGTAGTGCACAGATTCAAATCTTTCATTTTTAAAAATGAAGAAATCTAAATTGACAAAGAGTAACGCAAACGGCCAAAACACGGCACAACACACAACAATTTGGATTGGGCTATTCTAAGCTGTGCACATCTGTTATGCATAAAAATACAGTACCATCGTGCTTTTCACAGGGGGGGAAATCTTTTTTAACAGGCTTGATGGAACAGTCACAGCGGCAAACGGTGTGAAACACTTCTTTGTTTGTTTCGTTGTGCAGGACTCGCTCGGACTCCTCCAATGCGCTCCGTGTTTACTGCTGCAGCCTGCGAGGAACCCACTGAAATAACCGCCGAAGTGGCACTCAAGCTTCAGCAGCTGTCTAATTGATCTCCTACAGATGATTGCACTATTGTTCTGTACGGTACCTCAGAGTCTGATCTCCAGCAATTAACCCTTGTGAGACAGGTTTCACTACTCATCACTGCTCCCTTCTCCAGCGATGTAGATTTCAGCTCACACATAAAATCGCTCGCTTAACCTTGTCTATAGTTTAATCCAGCTGTTGCCAAATCTGATCCTAAAGACGCACTTTCAGTCCAGCTGTTTTTTGAGGCTTGTTTTAGAATTTTGCACTCGCGTGGTTTTGTAACGGGACAGGACTGTCTCTTGGAGGAGAGCACTGCTGTGGGCTACAGTGTCTTCTGTGTGGAGTTTGCATGTTCCCACATCTATTCTGTTTCATCAGAGGGCTGGGGTTTCCACCCATGTTCCAAGAATACATTAACTAGGTTACTAGGTGCCTCTACATCGTCACTCTTCATGTTTCTGCCCTGTGACTGACTGACATCCTGTCCAGGATACAATCCCAATCATTGCTGCCTGTTTCTGGGCTGGGCTCTGGGGTGCCGTGACCCCCCCGAATAAGAAATAACAATCTTTCTGATAAAGGATGGGCGGCTTTTGAAGTAGAGGCATCCCGAGACCGAATCTTTCATGTAGTGAGTCTAGAGTGCTGTAAAAAAATATTTCTGATTTTCCATCCATCCATATTCTATCCACTTGATCCAATTCAGGATCAGGGGATGCCAGGGCATATCCCAGATAGCAACGGGTGCAAGGCAGGAGTCACTCTGGATGGGACACCAGTCACAGGGCACACGTACAGTAGATCCCAGCACGTAAATACTCTCACCACGGTCAAGTTCCCTAGAAACTAATGTTCGCCACATGAACACAGGGAGAACATAGCACCTCAGGAATTGAACCCAGGGCCCAAACGCTGTGAGGCACCAATGCTAATCGCTGTGCCACCCCTTTTTAATTTTTTTAATTGTAATGAATAAATGGTGTTTTGTAATACTGTATGCATCATTAAGACAAAGTGTCAGAAAAACAGAAGATACGCACATACACAATTTTCATTCACAGATGTGGCTCAGGATGAACACAGGGGCAGTCCAAAGCCGAATTTTAATTTGTAATCTTTGTTTTTTACCAAGAAGGCTAACTGCCTGCAAGTATGGCCTGGATATTCAGCAGCATGGGATGACCACTAACAATTCTGCATGCTTCACGCAATATTCAGAACACTTTCTCTCCCATTTGAGGTATAATATAGGCATGTACTGCAAGGTACAGTACTTTAGGACTCGTTTTGGTCAAGGTCAGTACATTGTAAACTCAAAGTAAAGTGGCGGACACAGGAGGTGCTGTTGTACATGAACAAAATGTTTCCCAAACATTTCCCAAAATATCCAATGATACAGAATTTCGTAAGCCTAACAGCAATTGTATCAAAAGCTCTTCCGTAGTTATCGTAACCACAGTTAGGAATATTAACAATGATAAAACATTAAGCTATTAAAATGAAATAACACCGTACAGGGTACGAGATTCTTTCAAACATTTTTGTAACAATTTTATGAAAATATGCCCCCTTAACAAAAAGAGGAGACTCTCCCAATGGAATAATCGGAGGATTCAGTCTCATACCAACTGGAAAAAAAAATCAAAAACTGTAATTTTCATTCCGTGAAGGAATAGAGAAAAAAGTCCAGGTGCACTAATCAGTACAGCCCCTTGATCTGCTTGAGGGCATGGTCAGAGAGTCGAGATGTATCTTCAAATTATATAGCACAGATATAAACAAATATGCTTCTTAAATTCTTATAAAGTCACACCAAAAGCACAACATAACGCTCAAGTATACCCAGATCAGCAAACGTGTAGCCTTATTTTTAAATAAGTTCCGGTTTAATTTATTTTTACAGCTAGCGTTAGCACTTCGATTTTACAGTGTAAAATCATCATCTCGCCCTACCTGCGCACCAGACTCAGCCGAGCTAACATCATGCGTCATGATGCATTGAACCACCAGCGGAAAACTAAGCCCTCTCAAGCCACTTCAGTTTCATTTTCAGGCGAGTGAAATATCCCGCCTTCGCCTCTTCCTGTCAGCTCCCAGAGCTCCCGGCGCACCGTATGTCTTCGATGATATGAGCAACCGGTGTTTGCCACGAACTGCGTAGTTAAACCCGACATAATTTTGTGCACAAACCTCTCTAATACTGACATAGACTTAATTGTTTATTGCACACGACGCACGCTTTCGAGTTCTGAATGTGTTGTTTTTTGTCTGTTTTAATGTGTTTTGTTTTGTTTTTGGATGAGGGGGTTGCTCCTCACATTAAATTATTCAATCTACCTCTCCCCGACCCCCCCCCCAGAAAAAAAAGAAAAAAGAAAAACATGAATGCACAAACCAGTCATGTCATTATGGAGGTTTATTCAAGAGAAGGAACAGAATCTCCAGACCATATTGCTCTGCAGGGTATCGGTACTCTACTTAGCACACTGGTCCCACTAGTCAAGACCTCTACTGTAGGTCGATCAGGACACACTGGAGGGATCATACAATATCTGTTGGCTGATCTAGAGACACTGAAAAAATCCTCCGGAAGGAGCTGATACTTGTGCCGCCTGGTTCTCCCTATTCGACGTGCGGCTGCCGCGACCCTCATCGGGACAAAAGTGGACTGAAAATCGGTGGATGGATCTGCAATAACCTAAACAAACCCATTAGCAAAACACCACGACGCAATTCCAAACACCACCCACAAATGCACTTCCGAGCTCTGTAAAGTGATTGTGGGTGACAGTCTGTGGTATTGATTCTGCTTATGTAACTAAAGTCCCATCAAGAGCAACAGAGCGTAGCATCTTAACTAAACTAAAAGATGGGACAAGTGATTCATAATGACACGCAACAAATTCTCGGTCTGCAGTTCAGGAGATGTTTTCCCATTTAATGCCTCGTCTTTATCAAAAGCTTGGTAGCCCCAACAACCACGGATTCATTATGGAGCACATTGGACAAACATTTCCTCCTTTCAGTAGAATTTGTATAAAGGTACTTTTACGTGCCTGGCATCCCGCCCTGACCTCCCGGGACCGTCTCCAAGTGGCCATGACCCTTAGCAGGAATAAGCGGTTTTCAGAGAATAGATGGAAATCGGTTAAAATGTCACCTTAGAATGGAGGAAATCGAGTGTCATTTTTTATTAGCATTTTGCAACGAAAAAGCAGATATATGGAAGGTAGTTTATCTAATCCTTATCAGATCTGGAAAAAAAAATCCACCGAATAATGTCTGTACAATAAACGTTATCCTTTTAGTTTCATTGTTAAGTAAGCAATGAGGCACAGCAGGGTGTGTTTCAGCTTGTTTCAATACCTCGCAAGTAGGTGTATAGTCTGCTTGCTCAGCCCTTATTATAACGACACCTCTGAGGAAGAGAGTAATTTTTAGTAGATTAGTGCACATTCTGTACATACATTTTCAATGACATGCATTGGATGTTGTCCTTATTTCTGTAAAGGTTCCCTTGAACTTGACTGCTTGTGTTTTGGCTGCTATTATGTACAGTTCAGTAAAGAAGTAAGCTATTATGTGCAGTTTCACTAAAGAAGTGATTGCATATAATTTTGGACTTCATTTCCTACATGTTCTCTATATTTGTGGTTGCCTTTCTAGTTATTTTAAATTCATGCTTATTTATTTATAACACTGGTACTTGTATATTGCAAATGCCTACTGATTGAGATTACAGGCAAGAAGCAACACGCTGTACAGTATGTGCAATACAGTGACTACTGTATGCCACAAGTGCATCCAAAACAAACTCCTGGGAAGATATCTTAAAAAAACATATGTACAGTTTGTACAGTGAAAATGGTTGTTATGTTGTGAAAAAAATAAAAGTACCCTGCTTGCCAGCACATCCCCTAAGCTCAAGAAAAAAAAAGAGAAAAGAAATCAGATCTTAAAGTGGGAGGCACTGATGGTCTCAGGGTCTCAGGTCACAGGGGTGATACTGTATATATTTTTAAGTTTAGTACCAAATGTATTGAAGTAGATGAACCTGAAATAGTTCACATTTTCAAAAGCAACGGTACAGCAAATATTTCCTGTATGCTACCTACTGTAAATGCGTCACTCACATGGGATATGAAACGCTTCTACAGAAACAATTTTATTGATTGTCTTGGAAAAAAAAAACCCCAACCCAATTAGCCTGAACGCAAATGAGCTTAATGATCAAGGTTTTTGATTATGAGCTTCTCTTTCACGTTTAAGAGCTTTTCACCACACTAGCCTGTCTCATTTGGCTTTGGCTAAAAGGGCATTTAAGATACAAGAGTTGGCAGTAATGCAGATGATTCACACTGTAAGGAATGGAATGCTCATTAGCTGGTATAAGCAGAGCCTTGATCAGAACTGTATTTTAGCTTTCATGTCACATAGATTCTCCTTATCTGTCTATAGCTCAATTTATCTGAGCCTATAGTGCAAAATAAAGAAAACTAAGAAAGTGGTATTTAAATGGGCAACGGTTTCTATCATCCTTCCTTTCCAGTATATTAGGCCAACTTTTCATGGCTTCTAATTTGCCATTCTAAACAGTCTCTGCAGTGCCCATTTAATTACAGAACTGTTACTTGGAGGAAGATAAGAGGACAGATTGTTATGGAGGCTGCAGATTTCCAATACTGGTGTTATTTTCTATCAAGGGCCAATTCATTTTTTCCCAGAAGTCCCAGTTCAGCAGTAGCAAAAGGTAGTCTTTATTTGTTTCGAATTCTTAGTTTTTTTTCCCATTCTGTCAAATATCTGGCCTAATTTAAACACTTATTTTAGAGTACGTTGCTATACAGAGTAATTCTAAACCAGTTAATATGTGCAAACAACTGGATTGTGAAAACTGTGCGCCATTGAGTAATGACATTTGGGACACAAACACATCAACAATAGTCAACAGAACTCACTGGTACTGGTACTGCTGTGTATCAGCAGGTACGCTGGAAATTTAATACGGTACACTAGGAACATCTGAAACCCTCTGGACTCTCATTTTTCATGGCAAAGTGTTCCCCATAGTCTTAGTTGTAGCTTTACCAAATTGTATTGTTCAACAGTTCACGAGTTTCATGAAACAGTTGATTGCATAGACCGAATGGCTCAATAACCAGGGTTCCCAACTTGTGGTATGTGGACCACCTGTAATCTGACAGGGTTCCAAAGGTGAGCTGTGGGAAAATAATGATCATAATATTGTAAGGAGGGGTGGCCGGGGGGAGGGGGGTGGTGGTGACGTGCTGGTGCAGTGGTTGGCATGAGGTCTATTCCAGACCTGGGGTTCCTAGTTGCACAGAGTTTCACATGGTTTTCCTCTGGGTGCTCCCACCATCCAAAGACACAGTGGTAGGTAAATTGGTTTCTGGGAAAATTGGCCCTGGTGTGAGTGCGTGTTTATGTTTGTGTCTGTGTGCGCTCTGAGATATTCTGGTGCATCCTGCCTTGTGCCCATTACTTGCTGGGATAGGCTCCAGCTCCCCCTTGATCCTGTATTGGACAGTTTGAAACAGAAAATGGATGGGTGTATAATATTGCCAGAGTAATATAACCATGTGTACTTCATACATACAACATAATATCCAATGTTATGTTATTATTCATAATGTAGTTGGCTTGACAAACATCCTTGTGTTATAAATCATTCTCTGAATTTAGTGCTGTGGTGCTTTTGCATGACTTCAATGTGAACTTAATTAGTTGAGTTTGCAATGTGATGGTTAGGCTTAAATGGATTGGTGGCTTTTATCTGGTACAGGTAAGAACGAAGAGATTATTAAAATGATAAATGCAGAACAGCACAATGAAAGTAAGTGAATAGTGCAGAGAAAATACAGAAGTGAATACTTGAAACTCCAAAGGTTATTAAACAGTTTCATTAATAGAAACGGAACCGATTGTTCAAAGTGTGTCAAACTTAGCACAAATGCAGCCCATGAAATGCTTGGGCACCAAAGTGGAGTTGTTACACATGTAGGGGCAGTAGCTCCACTAGCAAGTTTTGGATATTGATTACACGTGTTTGGTGTCAATTTGATTAATTGATCATTCAATTTGATTCATTGATTGTGGTACACTGGAGAGACTTTGATTGTTTTAAGCACTAAATCACTTCATTAGTGAGAAGGTTGATTAGGCACAAGTGATGAGGTGATTTAATGCCAAGCCGAATGATCTGGTAATTGAGGCGTACAACAGAGCAGTCGATGTGGAAGTTCTGTAGGTTCGTTAGAAGTCTGTAATGGCTCTATTGAGTATTTATGGGATGAAAAAAATACTCCTTTGCACTATCACTTTTTGTCTGTAGAGTGTGTGGTTTTCAAGATCACAACATACTGCTCACATTCTCCACGATCGAGCACGGAAAAATGTGGTAAATGTGGTAAAATCATTAAAATCATTAAAATAACCTTGTCTACTTCACAATTACACTGCCCACAGAAACAATAGTGAATGTAAAATAGTGCGCTTTACTTATAGTGTGAAAGAACGTTATTCAAAACATAAAACAAAACAAAGCTCACCTGAGCACTAACCGAAATCTCTTTGAATCCCTCAGTATAATTAGAAAGTGGGTTAGCTACACTGTCTACTGGCATGAATCAGTTTCCACTCATTTTTGGTTTCTTTTGTTTTCTTGGTCTCTTTAGTTTAACCCCTTTTCACACTGA